TTTAAGTTATGGTATTTTGCAGCTTTCAGCACTCAATGCTGAGAGGCAGTTTTGAACTATAAAAGTTTTGAATTATAAATCTAACATTTTTTCTGTTTCTTCGTTTATTACTAAAGAAACTAAAGTGTCAGTATTAATGTAATTATTACAAAGGGGAAGCCTAAACAAGTATGCACTTGTTTCCTGATGTATCTAAAGTCATCCAGTTACACTACTGTAGAAATCACTTATCCAAAGGCAAGATTCAAAAAGGGATCAGATGTTTATATGGATAACAGGAACACCCAATTTTGGAAGGGAGATCAAACCTCAGACTTCAGGGTTTAAGCCTCTTTCTAAGTGATCAGGGAAAGAGCTAACACGGGGAGCAGATTATCCCAGATCTCTCTGCTGTACAGTTCTTACGCCTTCCTCTGACTGGTCTGGTGCTGGCCACTGTCAGAGACAGGACACTGACACTCAGTGAACCTTGGGTCTGTTCCAGTGCAGTACAGTAATTCTTACGATTCTATGAGAGAGGTGTCACTGCTTTTCTTTTTTCCAGATTAGGGTAGGTTAACATATTTGTACAATGCATTTTGTACAGAATATTTCTTGCATGACTGAGGGAGATTTGCTTTTAACTGCTTAATAGCCTCACCAGCTGCTTCAAATCCTTTGGTAGTTTCAGGAATTACCAGTCAAAATACTTTTTTTGTTAAATAAACTCATTACCCCTAGAACTCTATTCCCACATGACTTGTTTTGGATTCTTCTAAAGAAACTACCTTTTCTTTTCTAGCCTCACATGCCTTAGCGTAATGTTTGCTGAAAGTCCGAGTTTTACTTCTTTCTTTTACCAATAATTAGCAGCTACCTTTATCTGCTGTCCTCTGAAATAAACAAAGTACCTTTCAATGAATGCGACTGAACAAAAGGGAGAGGGAAAGTGAAGTCACGTAATGTCTCTTAGCACCCAAGGGTTGTAATGGGAGCTCGGTGTGAATCCTTGTCTCTTTGTTGAAACTCCAAGGGTGCCAACTATGATAGTGTTTTGTGTGATGTGGATACCTATTCACTGGCCAACTGGACTGAAACCACCAAACCTGTTTTACACAAGCCAAGAAACAGCCATCAGATGGTAACAGCTTTTGTTAAAGTTAAAAAGTTTGCAAACAAATTTGAACAGGACACATTTACAGTCCTTTCAACTAGTTCACTTCCATTTAGGTCCTGTCTACACCAGTGGCTCGCAACCTTTCCAGACTACTGTACCTCATTCAGGAGTCTGATTTGTTTTGCACACCGCCATGTTTTTCACCTCACTTAAAAACTACTTGCTTACAAAATCAGACATAAAAATACAAAAGTGTCACAGCCCATTATTACTGAAAATTTGCTTA